TGGCTGGAGCTGGCAGTGCCCGTGGGAGTCCCTCGTCCTCAGTCAGGAGCAGGCCGTCAGCAACACCGCCGGTTTGCAAGAGGCGGCAGCAGATGCCTTCACAAGGAACCCAAGTGTCTCTACGGCTGCATATTGCAGGGTTTGTGGATATGGGAATCTCCCTCCCCATATCCTGCGCAAGCAAATCTCTGAGTGTAAAGGAGCACTGCCCTCTTCTCTCCTTACTAACCACAGCAAACTGGGGTTTGCAGCAGGCAGAGTATCTGTGCCCTCAGTTGAAAAAGTCAGGCTTTTCCTCTGGTCTCTTTCCAAAGGCTTTCCACACAAATGTCCTTCGGGCAGCACGCTATGAGGCTGGACGGTCAAATCAATGGCGCCTCCGCCCTGGGGAGAAGCACCTACCTCACTCCTAGCAACCTGGCATCTACACATCTTGTCAGCATTTTGATTTTCCCTGTTACCATCGCTTCTCAAATTAAGTTTAATTGTAACACCTCACCTCTTCTCCTCTCTGTTAACTATGATTGGAGGAGTCTTCTAACTTAGCTTGCTAAGAGGAAAATGTGTCTCTAACTACTCTGCCTAACAGCTAAACCTCAGTAAATAAAGTGTAGTCAATAGCCTGTCTCCTGAGAAGAGAACTAAGCTCCCAGGCCTTTTTTTTTTTTTCTAGACAAACTTAATCAGCAGTTTCTGTGTATCCTTCCATCATCACATCCATATGTGAGTATAAGCAAAAGCAAAGTTCTGAAGGAGCTGAGTGTAGAAAAAAAATGAGTATAAAACTCCAGAGGTACCTGGCAGGATGCTTGTGGGAGCCCTTATCTTCCCACTGCAGGACATACTATTACAACTGAGATGTACACATTGCTCAGCACTCACCTCCTAATGCTGTGAATGAAGATGGTGAAACTTCCCCGGCTTGAATGAGAGTTGCACCATTGACTTTGGCAAAGTTAAAGCTAGAATAACATGAAAGCCTTTTGAAAATCCTTTCCTGAAGTGGGCCAAAGCTTATTACTGATTAATGCTGCAGCATTCCCATCTTACCATCTTCTATAGGACTTAATGGAGAAGCTTTCCCAGCTGATGTGGGAGGACTGGAACGGACGAGTACGCCAGGCAGCTACTCTGGCACTGGGGCACATGGAGCTAGCAAAGGAGATCCATGATTCACTCAGGTAAGCACTAAGCATGGCAACCTCCCCCTTTCTAAAGAGAGATTAGTTCATCACTAGGTTGGAGATCCTCAAGAACCATCAGGCATCTCAGTTTTCTCAGTGGAAAACAGTATCTTGAGTACCTAAGCTGAGGTTTGGCGGTGGATAGAGATCTATGAGCACATAGGTATGTATGCATGTAGGCATAGATTGGTACTTATAAGTCGTGTGCATAAATACCATATAATTTAGAAGCAGGAGACATTTAGTGATCCTAAGCTGTGTTAGATGCCCAGTATTCAAGGTTAGGTGCTATTCAGATGCTTTCAGCTAAATTCACATGTGTTGCAAGAGCCCCATTTAAACAGACTTTTGCAGAAAAATCACAATTGCCTGTGTACATAAACCAAGATATTCATGCTAGAAGGTCATTGATGTGGAATTCAAGCTATACTGTTACCTAGAACATATAGGAATATGAGGTGTATTCACTTTATATTCCACTTATATTTCCACTTATGTATTTTAGATAAGTGGGAAAAAAATAGATAAGGTAATAGACAAGAGGCAAGTAATTGGGCTCAGCAATGACTCTTTCAGCTTGGGCAAACAAAACATACCAGAGGAGACTTCATATATCTAAGAGCAATCCTGAAGCCAAATAAGTCACAAACAGAAATTTCAGGGGAAAAAAAAAAAAAAGGGAGAGAGAGAATTTGCTAATTTTTTTTACCATGTGGCTCTGGGTGTTTCCTGCTTTCACTGACCTTTAGCTTACAAACTTATTTGGGGCTTACAGTGTCCTACAAAGGAATCAGGACCAGGAGGGGTGACAATGTGAAGACATGAGTCTAAAAGGTTTTGACTGAGATCTAGATAGTTCTTATGCGCCAGGTAGATCACAAGTCCTGTAAACCAGTTCCCACAGCCCATGGCTGGAACTGCTCTGTGTTCCCAGGGAGAAGCTGGACACCGGGAGCTGCCAGACAAAGGTGCAAGCTCTCTCTCTGATTAGGCAGCTGCACTACATGACAGACAAGTTATTTCCAGGCTTCCTGCAGTGCTTCTCCAGTGACTTTGTTGCAGTGCGGAAGGAAGCGTGTCTTACAGCAGGAGCACTTGGCATTAAAGATGACCAGGTGAGCAGTCAAAACAAACCAACAAACAAACCACTAAACAAAAACACACACATAAAAAAAAAACCCTAACATAGCTCTTAAGTACACACACACATAAAGTTATCTATTACTAGTGGTAATTGAGTTGATTCATAGGACTGCTGATACGAGAGTTAAATGACTGTGTCTTGCAAATATTTCTTCTTAGAAAGGATTAAAACAAAAACTTATTTCCTAAGTGTTTGGGTATCTACATAGAAGTTGGTCAAAATTGTTTAAGGAACAATGAAACCATGTTTTCTGTATTAAAAACTACCTTGCCCACACTCCTTAGTTCTCACCAGAATTCTCCAAGAAGCTTGAAAAGGCTAGGCAGTTTTTTAGAGTTCTACTTTTACACTTGGGTTCATCCTTCCCTTTGCATTTCAGACTAAAAATGCCTCCTGTGGGCTTCCAATTTCTGCACAGCATGCATGTATTCCATTGTAAATCTTACAGAAATCTCACAGTAAATCTACCACATGTACATTTGAGAACATCAGTGATAGAAAGGAATAGCAAAGCACGGGATCGAACCATGTTTTATCTACGTGCAGGACCATACAGGCTTGATATGGAGCAAGGGAGCCTTCTAGAGGCGAAACTGAGGGCTGTAGCCCTTCCAGCCTCAGGATTTGTCAGGCTTTTTTTCCCCCACTTGAATCATTCATTGATTGTCAGCTCTTCAGGAGAGAAGTTTGTTTATAAAATTCTTATAAAATTGTGTGTTTATAAAAATGTTTATAAAATTGTTATATGTAAAATAAGGCTTTTATTTTGCTAAAACTTATGGGGCACCATGTGCACAACTTACCCTACGTAAAGCACTACGGCAATATGCACTAACAGTTGTATCCTTCTATTGCAGGTCTTTCAATGTCTCTGTGAAATGATGCAGTACGATCCTCATTGGATAATCAAGGTTTTTGCCATCAGAGGTACTGCAGAGCTCATTAACAATCCAGGTCCTTGGAAGGCAATTTCAGCCTATCCTCAGGAGTTATTTATTTGTTTGTTTTCCCGAACATCTTAGATTTTCTGAAAGTGTCATGCCAGGCGTGAGAAACATGTAGACAGTAAACATGTAGACATGCTGCCCCACTCTTCGAGCCAAGCCTAGCTGACATTTTCACCCAGAAAAACATTTTGTTGATGAACTTTTAATATAGCTGGAAACAGGTCATGATATCCCAAATCATTAAAATCCAGAAAGAAGGATCATGCCTGTGAATACTTTTATGCTTTCATAATCAGTTTCTAAGTGTCAGTGTCAGGATAAAAAACATAGATAATCATGACAGTCTCCTAAAAATCCCTCGAGCAAGTTTTGACACCAACAGCTTCCTAATCCTGTGGATAAATTTACTAGAAGGAAGCACCCTCTCTCAGTATTTGCCTGTTAGATAACTAATTTATATACCAGATTATCTGGTGTTGACCCAACATGAATGGCCACTTCTGCAAGAAAAGAGAGGGAAATACATCTATTGTGCAGCTCAGCCTCCAAATCCCTTGTGTAATATATGGCCTAGCTAGAAAATTTGCAGACCTAACTCTATGAAATTAGGTGTAGGATGAACAGGGGATACATAAAGATTGTAGGATTAATAGGAGATACATAAAGATTGTCTTTCC